TTACTAAGTATTGCCCGGTTTGTAGTTGCAGTTAAAGAAAACACATGAAAAGGCACGATTTTTTTTAAATTCGAAAAAATGTAAATATTTCAAAAACGGTGACACTTTTACCTGAAAATTTTTTGTTTATCAGTGAGCTCACCCCCCCACCTACCTTGCCCTAAAGTTTGGCACGTTACTTCTGGGACACCCTGTATAATTAGTATAGATTAACAAATAAATCGAAAATAAACACTCATGCCGCGTTGTTTATATGTTTGTATGCACTATATATTTAGCAGTTTCCTATTTGAACCACACTTTCTCCTTTTGCCTTTCACAAATAATGTAACAAAATGAAGATACCAAATGCTGGCATGTCAGCACATGAACTCAAAGGCATTGTTAAAGCCGATATAAGAAGTGGTAAATACGGATGAGCGAGCCTCATCTCTCCGGATAAGGTCGAAAACATTGTGCATGTGTAGGCTACCGGTTGCGAAACTCACACAACAAAGAGATAAGAAATCAAAAATCAAACCATGGCTCCGGAATTTTGAATTAACATACTCACTTGTACATAAAAACATTTGCCAAATGGCTCAGCCAAAAGGATATACTTAAAGGTGCGCGAGGATGAACATTTGGCAACGTAGGCACAAGGAGATTGACAAAGAGCAGACAATAGTTACATTTACAATAACGAAAGGAGGCCAAAAGCTAAGCATGAGTGCGGTGCTCTCTTCTTCAAACGTGCCAAATTCGCAACTGATGAATTGAGCTATTGAAATGGGCCTTAAGCGAATGCTCCGGCAATTTTAGTGGCCGCAAACGGCCTTGGATGTGATGTGCAGACTGGTTTAAATTAAACGAAACGTTTTATGCATGGTTTGACTTACTCGTATTTGGCCTTTATAAAATCAGATGGCTGCAGATTACATCATAGCAGATGAGCACATGGATTGATGTTTTTTGTACTTTAAATACTGGATTTTAATTTTTAACATGGTATATAATTAGCTCTTTGTTTGGACAACAACCAGTATACTACTGCAAGAATTCTGTACCGCAGTATCTCCATAAAAAAAACAAATTTTTTACATATGGNTGGTATATAATTAGCTCTTTGTTTGGACAACAACCAGTATACTACTGCAAAAATTCTGTACCGCAGTATCTCCATAAAAAAAACAAATTTTTTACATATGGTTTTTTTTTAACGGGTTTTCAATAAAATAAAAGAATTCAATTCCTGGTTCTGTGTGTACCTGCTAAACACCCCGAGAAAAGATGATGCTTTCCAGCAAAAACCATGTAAATCCAAATTTAAAACTTGGTACAAATTTGGAAAAGTTAAACACGTTACACAGAGTCAATTCTCTAGTTAGCGTTGTCTAAAAAATACCGTCGATTTTTGAATATTTTTTTGCTACAATGCAATGTGGTCGGAGAAGCTATGTTTTACGCGGAAAATTAGAAGGGCTATTACGATTATAATAAAAATGCAGGATCGTAGTATTTTGGTTATGCTACATCCGAATATGCCATACATTTTTTAGTTTGACAGTTGAAAGCTGTCAAATCAACTATCAATTTATCTAAAAATAAGAAAATCTTTTTGAAAATACCACTAATTAAGTTTTTAAGTACGCTAGTCACGAATTAGATGTCAAAGTAAAACTTTGGCAGTTCACAGCTGTAAATTGGACCGTGAATTTTCCTAAAAATGAGACAGTGTTTCAAAAAATGCTCCTGATTAGGTTTTTAGACATGCTGATCACGAATTTCATGTCAAATTAACACTTTGGAAGCTGACAGCTGTCGAATGAACTGTTAATTTTTCTTAAAATAAGAAAATATTTTTTAAACGCTAATGAGAAAGGGTTTAGACACGCTAGTCACGAATTTCGCTTCAAATTAAAACCTTGAGATAGGCGATATGAGAAATTAACTTCGTATGGGAGGTGCCACGCTCCCTTTTCCAATATCTGCCACTTTTCGGCATAAGTACGCTACTGATAAAATATCGTCGTTTAAGTTACAAAACCGCGTGTCAAGAAAATGCAAAACATCGTATGTGAGGTTGCCAAGATTTTGTAGGTGAGAGTAAAGCTAGTCCTATTTCAAAATGGTTCTCTCTTTTATCCCTAATTATATCTTCTTCTTATGTCTAAGAATCGGTATTTTAGCATAAATGGATAAGGGCTTGATGCCAGGGGCTTCCGGAGAGCAAATATCTTTTTTGGCACAAATGTCAGTTACGAGGTTTTGCAGAACGACGCTACGTGGTTTTGTACTTTAAACGACGATATAGAGATAAGCGATATGAGAAGCTAAGTTTATACGGGAGGTGCTATACCCCCTTTTCCAATACCTGCCAATTTTCGCTATTACTATTCGCTATTCTTTTTTAAAGGAAAGGTGTTACCTGACAGGTGATCTAATTTGGTTTAAATCCGATCATTGGATCATGAATAGATTAACGATAATCTTAACTTCTTGGATGGGAATTGAAATCGGTTTTGTTTTTTTTTTTGCTTAAAAATTACTTGTTTATGTAAGCATTTGTTGAAAATGCAGTCTCACATAGAAATGTAAAAGTAAGGCCCCTATTATGAGTTGTATTCGACTGTGGTCGAAAGTGCTGATCGTCGGAATTTTTATTTGGTATTATGACGCTCATTCGATGAAGAATAGCGCTATTGTGAATTTCGCTCGGTTAGGTTGTTTACAATAGTATATTTTTCACCGCTGAGAAGTTTTGTTTACAAATCGAGCAAACTAAATAGTGTGCTTAAACCTATGTATGTAAATTTGTGCAAATTAAAATGAAATAAAAAAGAAATCGAGTTTATAAAAACGTGGTAAAAATGAGTACAACGGAGTTCTGGTTCAACGATTCGTCAGAGGATGAGAGCTTGGTAAACTGGCCAGGAGTAGAAAATGTTTAAGAGGGTTTAAGTGTAGTATTTCGAGTTAATAAAAATTTGTAAATTAGTGTCTAGCCGCCATAAAGTAAAAAAACAAATGCAAATCATAAATTTTTCACAATTTTCTAACACATCGCTACGCCATCGAAAGCAAAATTCTGTTCGACAGAAAACATTGTGTACAAATACAAGTGAGATATCTTAGCAATAGACGTCATCCTGGGCCACAGCTGCGATCATCTGTTTTTTAGAGTTGCTTATTTTGGTCAAAACTGCGCTTTTTTGACCTGAGTTGCATTAAATAGTCTCATACAACTTAGTAGTATTTGTGATTCAAATGGTAACATATATGCCCAAAAACTTGAAAAATATTAGATGATTGTTTTTTAAAAATGCTATTTATAAAATTGCGTTTTGATTTCGACATTAGAAATATTCAGATTATAAAGGTTTTTCACATATGTTTTAAGATTTAAAGCTTTGTACGGTAGAATGCAACAATGTGCTTGAATTTGTTTGCATCTTCGTCAGCTTATTCGTTTGCAGACTAGAAAAATGGCGAACAGCAATCAAAATACTAATTCAAAATACAAATCTTTCACTGGACACACAAATGGGTGCGCGCAGCAAAATCCAGTCCTAATGGTAAGTTAATTGCATCGTGCGGCGACGACAAGTTAAGAATTTGCGATACATTTTCAGGCGAATGTGTACGAACGTTCACCGGGGGAAGAGGTATGGGACGACAGCTGGCATGGCATCCAGACGGTAATCTGGTGGCATCCAGACGGTAATCTGGTGGCTTTAGCATTAAATTGTAACCGCGTTAAGATATTTGACATAGCCGAAGGCGAGCTAATACAGTGCATTCGTCGCAGGAGAATGATGTTGCATTTCACCCAAGTGGAAATTTCTTGGTGACTGGCGGCGATGACGATACAATAAGATTGCTTGATATATTTGAAGGTCGACCAATTTATACACGGTAGTAGTGCACTTTAGCGGAACCAGGTCAAAATGGACGGGCAAATTATACACTAACTGGCCATACTGACTAAGTTTGCGCCGTCGCTTTCTCTCCACATGGTAGACATTTTGCTTCCGCGGGCGAGGATCGACAGGTAATTTCTGCTTTGTATGTAA